GCCGCTAGCCTGCCCGCCTCTGGCCGCCCCAGAGCCAGACGAAGACGGCGCTCGCGCCGTCCCGCCGACCCTCCAGAGCCACCGCCCCATCAACGCACTGAACGCCCTCGAGCGTCCGCCCGCCCGCCGCCCCGTCGCCCTCCTCCAGCACCCCTTCTGCCACCCATGCCGATCGTCCCAACCCCCTCGCCGCCGCCGCCTCGCTCAGCGTCCTCACAGCGCCTTCAGCCGCCGCCCCACCGTCGTTGCTAACAATGACGTATTGCCCCGCGCCGCCCGCACCGCCGCCCGCGCCGCCGCCGCCGCTGCGGCGCACTCGCGGTCGGACGCCATAATCCGCCGTGTAAACCAGCCGCGCCTCTCTTGCAGCTAGGCAATGCCACGCTCCGCCGCTCGCCTCGCCGCTCGCCCAACGCCGCCGCTCGGTCTCAGGCGCGAGATCGTCGCCGGCAGCTGCCATGAATGGCAGCGCCCAGACCTCGCTGGCATCTCGCGAGGCTAGGTGCAGCAGCAGCCGCGAGCCCTCGGCCGCCCGCCGAAACGACAACCGGAAGCGAGCGTCGCGTTCCTCGAAGACGGTAGAGGAAGTGGCGGTGGCGGCGGCGGAGGCGGCGTCGGAGGAGGCGGCGGAAGATGCCTTTCCGGCCTTTCCGCTCTTACCCATCTTACCGCCCTTGCCGCTCTGGCCGCCCTTCCGTTTGCCGCCACCAAACCCACCACCAAACCCACCCGCCGCCGACGCCACCGACGCCGCTCGCTCCTCCAACACCTCCTCCTTCCTATCTGCGCGTGTCGCCGACGGAAGGCGTAGCCGGTGCAGCCGCCACGGACGGCCGGTCTCGTCCATGCTCGCGTAGTAGAGCTCGCTGTCGTCAGATCCCCACGCAACGTCCACGTCGACGTCCGCCACGTGCGCCACCATCTCAAACGGCCGCTCCGACTCACCACCAGCACCTTCCAAGAAGGGCACCGGCGCGAGCTCGACCACCATGAGCCCAAACCGCTCCTCGCCCGTCACGTCCACAGTGTACGCCGCGTAACGGCCGCTCGGCGAGGGCACGAAGGCCGAGACGCCCTTGACAGACCCGAGGTAGCTCATCCGTGGGTCGTGAGCAGACGGCAGGCGCGCGGGCGCCGCGTTGGCGTCAAGGATCAGCTCAACGGCGGCGGCGTTGGCACGGCGGCGCAGATAGAGCGGGTGCGGGCCTGCTGGCGACGGCCGTGTCGAGTACTCCCACCCGCCAGCGTCGGCGCCGCGCCACCAGAGCAGCGGCGAGGGCGGCGGCATTGAGGCCCGCAGACGCGCAAAGATCCCCTCGCGCGTTGTAGAAAAACCGGGCATCGCCTCGAGGACAGAATCCGCGTACGCATTCTCCGCGCGGATGTGGCGCAGCGTCGGTTCGTGATCGCGCTCACGCAGCCGGAAGTGCGGGTCGACCAGCGCGACGGGCGGATCGAGAAGGAGCGCCTCATCGACGCCCTTGAGCTTGCCGTCCTCGCGGCCGTACAGCACCGTGACTGCCTCCGATGGTGGCCGTGGGGCGTCGATAGTCTCCCATAGTGGCTGCTGCATGCGCGGGCCAAACGCCAACCTCGCCCATGCGCTGCTTTTGCGTGCACTGCTGCTGCTTCTGCCGCCGCCGCCGCCGCCGCCGCCGCCGCTGTGAGCGCAATGGCAAAATCGGCTGCTGTGGGCGCCGCCGACACTTAAGACGTGCGTGGTGAACCATACACTGAGACAGAGCGCCATGAGGACTGCGGGCGCCACGCCCGCGCCCCCAAGCTAGTGCAACCACTCCGAAGCACCCGGGTGGGGGAAGAGAAAGCTGAGTCCCAGCACGCCGGGCGCCGCTCTCTCGCGCGACGGCTGGCGCCGCGGCTCGCCGGCGACGACACCGCGCTCGTCCGACCACCCGCGGCGTGGCGTGCGCGGCGCTGCGCGCTGCTCTGCGAGCGCTTCTGCGCCCATGTCACCCTGCACTGCCTCTCTCTGGTGGTGGTGGTGGTGGTGATGGTGCTGCTGCTGGTGCAGATGCTGCTGCTGGCGCGGCGCGGCTCTGCGACTCGGCTCGACGCGCGTCGCGAGCATCTGACGCGGCGGGCGGCGTCGGGCAGGTGCGCGCCTCTCTCTGGTGCTGCTGGTGGTGGTGGTGCTGCTGGTGCTGCTGGTGCTGATGTTGCTGCTGAGGTGCGGCGCGGCTCTGCGACTCGGCTCGACGCGCGTCGCGAGCATCTGACGCGGCGGGCGGCGTCGCGGGCGGCAGCGATCGCGGCTCGACGGTGGAGGTGGAGGCTGGAGGCTGTCGTCATTGCCCGGCGCTGCGTGCAGCGCTCTGGGTGGTAGGAGTGGCGGCGCTCCAAGAGTGGCGCTCTTGGGAAGAGGTTCCTCCTTTCCGCCCCCCCGCCCCCGCAAGGCGCGAGACACACGACACCTCCATTCAGGATTTTTGAACAGCGTTCCTTGAACGATAGAGTCTATCGGTTTCGAAACACCGCTCTGACAGCGCTCAACAGCTCCGCTTCACAGCTAGATTGACGACACCCCTTTGGTGAGTGAGTGAGTGACACACACACACACACACACACACACACACACACACACACACACACACACACACACACACACACACACACACACACACACACACACACACACACACACACACACACACACACACACACACACACACACACACACAGGTAGGTAGGTAGGTAGAAAGGTGAAGAACAGCCAGGCTCGGACTGGACACCAACGCGGTATGGGTGGACGCTAGACAGATGATGACGACACGCACGAGCGACACACAGACACAAACAGGCTCACAAGACACACAGCCAGCTGGCTGCCACACACCCTGAGTAGGCGTACACATAACACACACCTGGTACCATACCATGCCCCGGAAAAAGTTGGAACCCTGGTCGTTTGTTAGCGGGCCACATTCACGACCCTCGTCGCTCCCTCGCCCGTGCCCACCCTGATAATGCGTCTCAACTCGCGAGCATTCCCGGCGCTGGCGCCGTCGCCGCGCATCCTTGGTCCCACGCTGGAGGCAGGCGCGGCGAGCTGGCGCGACGGGGTTCCCAACGCCCTGACAGCCGCGCGTGTGGCTGCCATTCCCGTGCTCGTCGCCACCTTTTACAACCGCCGCTCATCACCGTGGCTCCCGGCGTCCATCTTTACCGCCTGTGCCGCGACCGACTTTCTCGACGGGTACCTGGCGAGGCGATGGGCCGTCCACTCCGACCTCGGCGCCTTTCTCGACCCGGTCGCGGACAAGCTGCTCGTCTGCTCGTGCCTGGTGCTGCTTGCAGGCGCGCTCGGTGCCGCCGTCGCGGTCCCGACAGCGGTGATCGTGTGCCGCGAAGTGACGATCTCAGCACTGCGCGAATGGATGGGCGCGCGCGGTCACAGCGCAGCCGTCGCTGTCGGCTGGTGGGGCAAGCTGAAGACGGCGACGCAGATGGTCGCACTGCTGTTGCTACTCCTGGCGTGCCCTGGCAAACTGACGGCGCTGCAGCCGTGGGGCCTGGGGCTGCTCTACGCGGCCGCGGTGCTCGCCTGTACGTCCGCGAGCGGCTACGTGGCGACCGCCTGGCCGCTGATGGCGCCAAAGTCGTTGGGGATAAGTTGAGATGGGAGCGCTGTGTCGCGAACCCTGATCCGATCAGGCAACTCTCTTTTGGTATGTGAAAGCGCGACAACGGCTTGTCAGCCCTGCCCCTGCGCCACCTGGCATGTGGTTGACACCTGCCGCATGACTCCTCTTAGTCCTTTCTTTGTTTCTTCACCCGTGTTCCTGGATCCAGAAACGCGGGTCGCGATTTTTTTTTCGCTCCGCCGACACGCAAGAGCACGACACGCTTCTGACCATCGTGTTTCGCTCCCTCGCTCAACGCCCGCTCCGAAAAGCTACTTCGCGCACCGCTCGAGATCCCGGCAAGGCCATGAGCGCACCAGCGGCTGCGCACGGCCGCGCTTCGGGAAAGCCGGTCCTACTCGGCATCTTTGTCACCGCGGCGATGACCAAGCGCCGAGCGCTCATCCGGCGCACAATTTTCCGCAGCTTCGACTCGCTGCCGCCGGGCGCGGTCGACGCGCGCTTTGTGGTGGGTGCTGGTGCGGGCGTCACGGTGCTGGCGGAGCAGGCGGCGCACGGCGACCTCCTGCTGCTGAATGGGACTCGGGAGAATAAGGAGAGCGGCAAGAACCTCGACTACTTCCTGTTGGTGGCGGAGCGGATGCCACGGCGCTACTCCTGGGTCGTCAAGGCGGACGCGGACTCGTACGTCGTCGTCGCCAACCTGTGGAGAGAGCTCTCGCTGCTCGAGCCGGCCGACGGCTACTTTGGCGCCCACTGGCCCTGGCCGACGCTGCGCCGGCGCGTGGCGCCGCTGCTGCCGAACGGCACCACCCGCGGCACCAAGGCGGTCGTGTCTCCCGCCGCCCTCCTCGCCGCGCGCGCCGCCCTCGCCGCCTTCTCTGGCTTTGTAGACGACGGCGGCGCGGCGGCGCCCGAGTGGGCCTTCTGCGGCCCGCTGTACGCGCTGTCGGGCGACGTGGTGCGGTGGCTCGGCGGTGCGCTCGGGAGGGGCGCGTCGAGCGCCGCCGAGTGGCTCCGTCCGCCGACCTCACTGCCGCGGGGCTTGCCGTTCGGGGAGGACATGCAGGCGCCGCCCGCCCTTGCCCCGCACCACGCCCACGTCGCCTCGCCTCGCCTCGCCTCGCCTCGCCCCCGCCTCGCCTCGCCTCACTCGCTCCCGCCTCGCCTCGCCTCGCCAGGTGCGCGCCTTCCTGCACCGCGGCCGGCGCGGCAGCAACGCGTACGCCTGCGGCTCGCGCTGCTCGCCCTGCCGCTGGACGCTCGGCCGCTACACCACGCACGCGCGCTGCGCCGACGGCTCGCTCCTTGTCGAGCCGTTCCGCGCGGCCGGCTGCCCGCACTCGGCGCCGCCATGGGACCGGCAGACCATCTACGTGCACTCGCTCAAGGGCGACGAGCAGTTCCTGGCCGCGCACGCCTACTTTGCCGCCTCCGCCGCCTCGATCGCGGCGGCGGCCGCGCGCGACGTCCGAGCGGGGACGGGTCGGTTTGGGTATTGGGTTATAGATAGCTGATGGGATCTCTACGTAGATCTACGCCTTTATGCGTATGTAATTCTGAAGGCTGCGTACCCGTGACCCCGTTCCCCGTACCGGTACCAGTGTCTTTGTGTAAATTAACGCTAGGGCTAGCGTTTTTTATTATATAAACCAAAAAGGCGTGAACACGGCGTCGGAGCGTCAAGAGGGGAGCGCTTGTCGGACTAGACATTGTGCGACGATGGATGGATAGTCGCTGTGATCTAGTGAGGTGTCTTATGGACGCTCTCTTCACGGGCTAGCGGCCTACACTGCCAGCCCTAACTCGCTCGCACTCACGGATGATGACAATTCATTGGGTGAGTGATTGCCTAGGTGTTTGCGAGCTGAGGGAGGGTGTAGAGGATGTAGAGTGTAGAGCGCTGTAGAGCTGTAGAGAGCTGTAGAGCGCTCTGGAGCGCTGTAGAGCTCTAGAGCTCTACATCCGCCGCGGGACGAGGCGGGTGCGTTGTAGAGCGATGTAGCCAAACCGCTGGGAAGGCAGCGACTCAAAGAGGTCGAGCCGCGCTAATGGGGTGTCTCCGAGCTTACTGGAGCTCTGATGGACGGCCCTGACTATCACTGACACACAGATAGTCACTCTGACGGCACACAACACCCTATAACTGCGTCATGACCAGCCTGCCATGCGTCGCCGGTGCCGCATTCGTCGCTGTGCTTCTTTAGCAGGCGGTGGACTGTCGGCTGCGAGGACGGTCGCATTTGCGCGAGGCGAGGCGAGCATTGCTGCGCGTTGCATGCGCCATGACTCGCGCCAGCGCGTGCGGGAGCTCCTGGCTGAGCGTTGAGTCCAGGCGAGTTGCGCTGGCCACGATCGCTACGCCGAGCCGAGCTGACGCGCCGAGGCGCCGGCCAGTCGCAGCCGTGAGGCATGCCACAGCAGCAGAGGCAACTGCCACCCATTGGGCGGGCAGACAGAAGGCAAGAAGGAGAAGGCAGAAGGCCAGGGCAGCACTGGCAAGTGCAACGCGCCTCATGTCGGAGAGCGACCGTGCCTCGTTCGCCGCTTATGATGTAGAGTTTGTTGTAGAGATTTCACGTTGTAGAGCGCCTCTACATCGCTCTACATCGGACTCACATCGTCACGCGGTGGATGTAGAGCTCTACAGCTCTACAGCGCTCCAGAGCGCTCTACATCTCTACAGCTCTACAGCGCTCTACACTCTACATCCTCTACACCCTCCCTCCAGTTTGCGAGCAGACAGAGGAGCGTGGGCTAAATCTAGGCCGCACGTCGTGGCACTATGACGGAGGTGGACGTGCGGCCGCAGCGCGCCCGCCGCAGGCTCGGCGGTGCGCGCGTGTTCGCGAGAAAGTTGCGGGTAGAGCCGTGCCCGACTTTTCGACGAGGAATTCTCCCTAAGCCAACCGAGCGATCTTTGTCGATGCTCGCTTCCTTCGCGGCGACGACTGGGCTCACGCTCGGCGGCCGGGCCGCCGCCCCCGTGGCGCCGCGCTCCGGCGTCCGGATGGCGTCGAAGTACACCATCGCGCCCTCCATCCTCTCGGCTGACTTTGCTCGCCTCGGAGAGGCGCGAGATTGCTCTCGCCAGCTCCGACGCTGCACCGCACCTCCACCGCAGCAGCCGGCCCTGAAATTCACACGCCTCGGGCTCTTCCTTCCACCGCGTACCTCGGCGCGACCCGCAGGAGGTTGAGAATGTGCTTGCTGCTGGCGCCGACACGGTCCACTTCGACGTGATGGACAACCACTACGTGCCCAACCTGACCATCGGCCCGATGGTGTGCAGCGCCCTGCGCAAGTACGGCATTGAGGCGCCGATTGACGTCCACCTGATGGTTTCGCCGGTCGACAAGATCATCGGCGAGTTCGCGGACGCGGGCGCCTCCTTCATCACCTTCCACCCGGAGGCGACGGAGCACGTCGACCGGTCGCTGCAGCTCGTGCGCGCCGCCGGCTGCAAGTCCGGCCTCGTCTTCAACCCGGCCACCTCGCTCGACGTCCTCAAGTACGTGATGGACAAGGTCGAGCCGCCACCCGCTCCACCCACCCACTCCCCGCCGCACTCGGCTATCCATCCGCACCGCGCTGCCCGGCGCCGCCTCACCGCCGCCCCTCGTCCTTGCCGCCAAAGGTCGACATCGTGCTGCTCATGTCTGTCAACCCGGGCTTCGGCGGCCAGAAGTTCATCCCGGGCACGCTCGACAAGCTGCGCGAGGCGCGCAAGATGATCGACGAGTCGGGCTTCGACATCTCGCTCGAGATTGACGGCGGCGTCGGCCCGGCAAACATCAAGGAGGTTGCCGAGGCTGGCGCGGACAACTTCGTCGCCGGCTCCGCCATCTTCAACACCGAGGACTACAAGGCGACCATCGACACGATGCGCGCCGAGCTGGCCAAGGTGCCCGTCCCCGGCAAGGAGTTCGCGCTCTACTGATGTCCGCCGCAGCAGCTTGCACCACACACCCCGTGTCACTCAGCGGGCTCGTGCTCGGGCGGAGGGCCGCGCGAGGCTCCGGTACGGCGCCGCGCGGTACCTTGCACTCTTGCCCTCGAGCCTGCTCCTCTCCTGGCTCTCATACAACACTGTAGCGTATATTGGCCGCCCCGCGCAGCGCGCGCGCCCAGATGTCGCGCGCGCCGGCGGGATGTGAGGTTTCTCCTGTGTCTTGACGTCGACGCGCGCTCTCTCTCCTCTACCTCCGCGATCCGCGTTTTAAATACATCATAACATGTACATGTGCATGTGCTAAATCAAACTCGACGCGCGGCGGAAAGCGAGCTCGGGGCGCGACGAGCTGCACACCGCACCCGCGCCCCCTTCCGGCGTACTCCTCCGCTTCTTCTCCACCGCCCGGGACATCCCCGCTGCGCCGTGGCGAGGCGTGAGCGCTGTTTCGACGGCCAACCAACCGTACGCTAGGACGCGGTGAGCAGCTAGGACGCGGTGAGCAGCTGGTACGAGAGCGCGCTGAAGAAGGCGTCGAGCCCGCGCCTCCCCGCCCTCCGCACCAGGCTCGGCGCAAAGATCACCATCCGAGAGCGGGGCGCCGCCGTCGCGACAAGGGTGCCTCCCGCCCTCTGCGCCGACGCGACTCCCTCGGCGAGGAGCGCGTCGCACTCCGCCTCGGCGCACTCCTCGAAGCGGCGCCGCACGCGGTTGAGCAGCAACGCCGCCGACCGCGGAGACCGCTCGCCGCCGCCGGCAGCGATGTTGTTCGGCGGCAGGTACAACTGAGACGGCCTGTGGCGACTCCCTGGGGTGCCATGCCACGAAGCTGGCCGGTAGCCGCCGCCCTCGAAAGCGGCGTCACGGTAGCACAGGACGACGTAGAGGGGCGAGGTGGCGCCGTCCGCCGCCAGCGAGCGTATCAGGTCGATGAAGACGCGGTGCTCGTCGCGCAGCTCGCCGGGCGCCAGCATCCTGCCGATGTGCTGCACCACCTGCACAGGGCCGAGCAGGCAGGTCGGGGAGGAGCGGCGGGGCGAGGGAGGAGAGAGGCGCGGGCGGAGCGACACCTCGACGGGGAGGGCGGGGAAGGCGTGCCGCCACGCCCAGCCGAGCATCGTCAGGTCGCGGGCGGAGGGCGCGTCGTGCCGCCCCACATCCACCAGCAGCAGCAGCCGCGAGCGAGGCGCGCGGTCGAGCTCTCTCCTCAGCCGGGCGACGCCCGCGGCGCCGAGCGCGACGGAGGAGAGGTGGAGGGCGTGCTCGGCGTGAGGGAGCACGCACGAGCAGCCGTCCACCACCTGCGCGGTCGAGGCGAGCCACTCCTCGCCGCCCGAGGCAAAGGCCCACGCAGCGATGAAGGAGCGGCGCATCTCCTCGCCGCTAGAGCTCAGCACAAAGATCCTGCTTGTGCGGCGGCGCGACTGCAGCAGCGTGCTCAGGATCGAGCGCCTCCCGCTCACGCAGCGGCCGAGAAGCCAAAAGCGCAGCGAGGCGAAGCACTTGCGAGCCACAAGCAGCAGGCCGGCCATACGTCTACCCTAAGTTTCTCCGAGACCTCGGGAGAGGGCAGGTATTCACACCTCCATATACAAACGACTGGGTTCCGGCTCCAACCCAGATAGGGGGTCTGGCACACTGGCTGACTCCTATGAAATAGGTAGGTAGGTCCGGTTTTGACCGCCCCAGAGCGCCCCGCAATAGGTAGGTAGGTGGTTGGTGGTGGTGGGGTGGGGGTGGGGGTGTTGGGGGGTGGGGTTTAAAAAGCGCCGCCTTTCCATACTTCCTGCTGCTTCGACGGGGTTTGTGTTGAGGAGTGACCCGTGCCGCCGTGTGCCCCGCAGCGGCCTCGCTGGGCCAGAAAGTCGGCCCCGAGTGCCAGCAGCAGCCTCGTTGAGCCAGAACGTCGGCTCGCGAGGTGGGTGCTAGTATGAGCCCGATCCGTCGCAGTGCTCTTGCAGAGGCGGTTAGTGGTGCACTAACCCCGAGAAACCCTTCGGGTCACTCCTCATCGCAAACCCTATCAGCAGTCCTCCTCCGGGAATGTACGTAAGAGCCACATACATTGAAAAAAAAGCGCTTCGCTCGCGCGGGAGACGGCTAGCCGCGAACGGGCCATGCCAGACGAGTCGCCTGCGGCTGGGACGCCAGCCGAGACGGGTGCGGCGGCGGCGCCCGCGGAGCCTATTCACAGAGGGCTAAACGGGTATTTTCCGCTTCGCTGCGCGGCCCCGCAATAGGTAGGTAGGTGGGGCACGGAGCCTGGCGGTTGGCGCCCGCAATAGGTAGGTAGGTAGGTAGGGCGTTTTGGCGCAACTCAGTGTCGACAGACCCCCTATGCCCTATCCGGCTAGGAGCCGGAAGATAGTGTGGGGATTGTGAAGTTGCAAACTACTCTCGAGGTTTCACGCACGACGTCCACCACAGGGTTCCGGCTCCTAGCCAGATAGGGGGTCTGTTCCCCACGGTGACACCCTACCTATGCAATAGGTAGGTAGGTCCGGTTTTGACCGCCCCAGAGGGCCCTGCAACAGGTAGGTACCCCCTATATTCGTCTTTTTTCGCTTCGCTGCGCGGCCTGGGGGTAGGTAGGTAGGGCGGCGTTTTGGCGCGAGTCATTTTGAAGGCAGACCCCCATCTGGCTATAGGAGCCGGAACCCAGGCGTCCATCGTGCTTTTCGGCCGAGCTAGTCGGCTCTTCAACACAACTCGTGCCCCGCGATGAATCTCGCGGAGCCGCTCCTCCCCGTCGCGTCTCCGACGCCGGCTACGCCGGCTGGCGCTTCCGGCTCGGGCGGCGTCGGCTTTGGCATTGGTTCGGGTGCAATCGGCGGGGCACGGCGGGTGCTGGGGATCGTGCAGGAGTACGTGGAGGCGCTCGGCGCGAGCCTGGGCGTCGAGTCGGAGGAGGAGGCGCGCGCGTGCGTCTGGCTCGGCCTGCAGGCGCACCTTGCCAACGCGGTCTTCACCATTGGCCGCAACATCGGGCCGGCCATGTTCATCGCCAAGGCTGGGGCGGCGCAGCTTCCCATCGTGATGTTCATCTCGGGCTTCTCGGTCATCGGGATCGGCCCCGTTTTTGCAAAGTGGTCCAAGGGCAAGCGCGCGGCAAAGGTCAACTACGAGTTCTGCCTCTTGTCGGCCGCGCTGCTGCTGCTGCTACCGCTGCCGATTGCCATGAGCACGCCGGGGTCGGCACTGGGGATCGCGGCCGCGTACATGCTCTTCCTCGCGGAGGACCTGCTGCCGATGCTGCTGATGATGCAGTCCTCCTCCCTCGCCCAGGGCTCCCTCACTGGCCACGCCGCCAAGCGGCTGCTCGGGCTGATCCAGCTCGGCTGCTCGACCGGCGCGATGACGGCTGGCCTCGCGATCGCGCCGCTCGTGAGGACCTTCGGCTCGACGGCGCTGCTCTTCGTGCAGGTGCTGCTGCTGCTGGCGTCGCTCTGGCCCAACCACATGGCGTGGTGGTACGAGGACTTTGACGAGGGCCGCGAGGGCAAGAAGAAGGAGGTGCAGGACGCGAGTGCGGCGCCGACGACCTCTCCGGCCGGCCCGCAAAAGGCGGACGACTCGCAGCGGGCGGCGCAGCAGCCGATCTACCGCTCGCCGATGATCGTCGCGCTCGCGATCAACACGTTCGGCATCATCTTCTGCAAGACGATCGTCGAGTACCAGTACAACGTCCTCCTCGCGAGCGTGCTGTCCACAGACGAGATGGTCGCGATGACCGGCCAGCTCTACGCGGCCGCCGGCTTCTCTGCGTCGGTGCTCAACGTCTTCAACTCGCCGATGATGCGCGCGCTCGGCATCACCACCACGCTGCTCATCTGCCCCGTCTCGCTCTGCGTCTCGGCCCTCGCCTTCGCCGCGGATCCCCTCCCTAGATGCGGAACTCGGCGCCCCGCATCTCGCGACCGGAGACCGGAGGCCTGCCCGCTTTTGAGAGTGCTCGATCCCGGCCTCAACCGGCGCCCGGTCTCCGTCTTCTCGAGCACGCGGCGCCGCCGAGGCGTGCGCGCCCTCCCCTCGCCGACCCTCCCCTCTCTTCCCCGCGCGCAGGTGCCGCTAGTGTGGGCCGCGTTCCTCGGCCGGCTCGTCGACCTGACTCTGCGCTGGTCGATCAACAACTCGACCAAGTCGCTGCTGTGGATCGCCACGCCGCGCGAGATGCAGGTGCGCGCCAAGCCGATCATCGAGGGCACCGTCAAGAAGATGACCGGCTCGTGCACCGCCTTCTGCATCGGCGTCGTCTCCGTCATACTCGTCGGCGACCACAAGCTGCGCGCACTCGCGCTCCTCTCTGCGGCCGTCGCGGCCGCGTCGTCCGTCGTCTGCGCCTCGTCCGGCCGCATGTACCACGCGGCCATGTGGGCGCAGATCGACCGGCGCGAGCTGGTCCTCGATGAGGACGCCGACCGCGCGAGGCAGTACGGCTCGTCGGGGCTCGTCGACTTTGAGGGCACGATCGAGATCGACCCGGTGATGGCGGCCATGGTGCTCGAGAAGCTGCAGAGCGTGTTTGACGCAGGCGCAGCTCTGTCCCGGTTGGTGAGGGGGGGGGAGGGGGGGG